TGGCCGTGGAAGTTTCGTTTTGAGCGTTCCAAATGTTTAAAGGCTATTCCTTAAAATAAATGAAACCTGCTTAGCTTTTTGTGTTATATACTGGCGGCAATAGTTGGCAGCAGCTACTTTCACCCTTGCAAAGGTTATTTTGATTGTATGGAAATTCAAGCTGCCTATTTCAGAAAACAAAACATGAAAAGAGTCAATCCGTGTTTGCCGACTCTTAAAAGACCTTTCTCAAAGTGTTTTTTATGATGCCAAACCCACAAGAGTTTGTAAAAATGTGCCTACTTTTGCCTTTGAATTTAATTAGGCTGGAATTACAAAATGTACATGTACAACAACATTTCTGCTTTCTACTCTTAAAAAAATATAAACTTTAGTCATATTTGAATCACACTTTTTTTTAACATCTTCTTTTAAATATTTTTGTTTCCATTTAGGACTGCCAACATTGCTATGGAAACCCCCCAAAAATAAAGACTTTCCCAGCCTTGTGAGAGCACACCTGCAAGAACAAGAATTGCAGTTAGCCTTTTGCCTGTCAAAAACTACTCTCCTTCAATATCAGTGTCGCTTAAGGACATCTTTTATGTTTGGTATGATTTGTTATCTTAAAATTTGTAGAAGGTATATACTTACTTAGAATTTATGCAATTTGAAGTCTTGCCAAAGACCAATAATACGTCTGCTGCTTTTCAATAGCTCTCTTTTTAATTTACTTTCTCGGTTTCAAGAAGAAAAATGCGTTACAGATTGTAGACCTGAGATTGGAAGTCCTGAATTAAAAAGGGGAAATAAGCACTCTCATCTCAGTGTGACAAACACATACCAAATGAAGTGCCAGTTTCTTAATAGAAAGCTTTCCATTGGCTTCAGTAGGATCTGGCTCCAGCTTCCAAAGAGAGTTACACGAATTCATCTGCTTCTTCCCAGTAGAGAGATGTATTTACTGTTGAACAGTGGGCTACTACTGTGACTGATCTGTTCAGACTTTTCAACATTGCTAATTTTATGCATATCCTTATTTTAGTTACTGAGCTAAATTTTCAGCAGTCCAGTCAGAAATTTTATGTTTGCAACAAATTCTGTACGGTTTTCCAATTGAAAAAATAATTAATTTAGCTCATTAAAATGGTTTACATGTATTTTTTCCAAACAGAAGGTAGCTATGGTAGTAGCACTGAATGCAGATAATGTGGTTATAAGTCTATAAGAGCAAAACCTCAAGACAATGTTTTAAACTTTATTAAATTATATTTTAAAAAAATCTCAAACTAACAAAGCATTTCCATTTTTGGGAGCCTACACTGTTTTTAGCTGTGTGAATTGTATGTGATGCTTGTTGTTAAATTTAGAGTATATGAAGGCTTTTGATTTGTATATATTTCTGGGGTGTGCTGTCAATTTGACAGCAAGTCTACATCAGTAATGAGCACCACTGGGAAAATTGAGATTTTTTTGTTGTTGTTTATTAAGAAAAATGTCCATAGATCCCAAGGCAAATGAAAAACTGAATTTGTAGATAATGTAAGAAACATACCTTTGCATTGTTAATGACGATACAGGAAATTCTCCTACGTGTTTTTTGATCATTTAAGCATAGCCAAAGACTTCATTTAAATGCCTTCAGGTCTCATCTAGATTTGCTTCTCACCACTGTTCTAATGAGCAAACTCAGTGGCAAGATTGTTTGCCAAAACAGCCAGACAAACCTCAGAAACACGAACTGTAACAGCTGCATGCTGCATCTTACAGTGAACAAACCTGTTAGGGGCATTTTGTGAAATGAGATGCTGTTCCCCATGAATATGAATATCAGCCCTCACCTTGCCAGGAATATTAAAGAATGTAAGAAAATGTGCAAGTTCTCACCCCAAACAAAAGTCTTTTCACTAGAGCGCTGAGTCTAAAGAGAGATTCATTCAGGTAGGACATGGAAACTGTGTGTGACAAATTAGTGTTGTATGTGACAAATTAGTGTTGCACCATCTCCGAACATGGTCTCATCAGAATTACACGTTTTGCAGGGCTGGAGCTTCCTGGTGTTCGTATGAAAAATCTTCACAGAAGAGGAGTATGGTGTTTCTGAGAGGAAACCTTCACAGCACTGCACAGGTACTGTGGGCAGCGACAGTGGTCGTTCGTGGAGGCACAGCTCGCTCCAGCTGTAAGCAAACTCCCTGTCCTAACACAGCGTTAGCGTACTTTTTGCTGGACTTGCCATTGTTAAGTAGAGCATTATCAAACTTCTGAATATTTGCAGTCATTCAGGCTTTTATGTCACAAGAGAAACATTTTCCTAACAAATGCTGATTCATATGTTGCAGTTGCCCGCTGTGCTTCAATTTTTGCCCTAGGCTAAGTAGATGATCATTGCAAAAAAGTAGCTGCTACAAGCTGTTAAATTGCTTCTGCTGCGCATCAAAGAGGTGGTTGCGTTTCCGAGTCAGGTAGGAGCGTTCCTATGTATGCATTTGCGCTCAACATCACGGTTTCAAAAGTTTTGTTGCGTATGTTCGTTGACTCTCTTTAAGATGTATTGGTGTGGCAGGTGGGGGCAAGAGTTGAATGTTGCTGTGAAGGTGGGTGGCAGTGCTGGGGGCAATCAGACTAAACAAGAAAGGGCTGTAAGTGTTTTCAGTTCTTCAGTGGCAAATAGCGTGAAAGCTGCAGATAGATTTAAAAAACCCCCACAAATTATGAGGGTTAATTTTTCAGGAACGAAGGGGAGAAAGACATTAATTGTATAGGAAGTTGTAAACTGGCATAGATTTGAGTTCAGTCATACTAAAATTGCTCCTGTTCCTGTGGCTGGATGCTCTGTGTGAGCTGCAGTTCCCCCTCCTAAAGTGTTAAAAATCACCTCTTTCATTTGTGCGTGCTTTCTGCAACTGATGAGATTAAAAGGGCCGCAATACCGCTTCAGCTCAATAGGGAATGATTGCAACTGAAAGCATTTATTTATTTGGTGTGAATCATCCTGTAATACATTTCACTTCTATTCCAAAGCGGAGGTTTGTTTGTCTTTTAAAGGTTTACTTAAACAGGAGAGGAAGTGAGAACTAATCCCTGGCACCTTTACTTTGCTAGTGCAGCCGAGGCACACCTCACTTTATAGCGCTGACATATTGCAGAAGGACATCTAGGACAGTTTTGATGACCGTAGTGCTTGCTGTTACCACATCCAGTTTTTACCATTGGTTATCAGAACACTGGTAGGTGAGAACAAGAAATAGTATTGTAGTACTAATATCATGGAACCGGATAAAAATAGAGACCGACGACGAGTTTTGCTGTAATTTCAGTGGCTATGATTCTATATTGCTAGTAGTATTTAAATGAGCCAGATGGAAAATAGACACTGTTTTGTCTAAAAATAAAGCAGATGCTTTATGAGAAAGTTGTCCTTTCAAGAGCATTAGTGTGTTGTGGGGAGGATAATATTAAGCTGCCAGCATTTGCCTTTTAACTGTGTTAACAAATAGTGCCATATTAATGGCAACTTTCAGGAGAAGAACTCAGAAGTTGTAGTTGTGTACAAAAGTTTAAAAAAAAAAAAAGAAAGAAAGAAATCCAGGAGCAACATTTTAGCCATTCATTTTCCTGCTCTGTCATTTTAAGCTTAAACTCTGCCTTAATGTTATCCTTAAATGACATGTTGAGAAGTAGAAGGTTAATTTTTCTTTGTTTTGTTGCACTTCCCCTGCGCCTTACTCTGAATTTCTTCGATCGAGTTGGTTTATGCCAGTGTGAACTAGCAATAAACTATGATCCCAGAACAAGGCTTTTTCTACTGATCTTTGTATTAAGACTCAAGACCCCTTTCAGCCTCCTTCAGTTCCACCTGGGAAGTTGGTTGTTTCCATGGGCAGAGGCTCCTGGCCCGGTTTGCTCCCATGCCGTGGGAGTCGGGCACTGCTCGCGGGGCTGGGCCGGGCTGAGGAGCAGAGCTGGTCACAGAAAGCTGCTGTTTCCGTTACGGTTACATGGAGATAGACCTACGAAAAAGGACCAGGGTCTGTCTGCTCCCATATCCTGTGCCAGACTTTGACCTAACACTGCTGACCTAATGCTTTGTTGGTGGAGGGAGGCCTTTCTGAGGCAGCTGGTTAAGGGCTCCTGCCCTGAGGCTTGGCATTTCTTTTAAGCATAATTAACAGTTCACGTCAGATTCCTCCATTCTGATTTACATATGTGCCAGTTATTTCAGGATGTAAATAACAACTGTGTTGTAGCAAGAAAACCGGAGTTTGTAGGAAGAGACAATACATATATATATTTTATTAGACCAATTAGTATCATTGGAAAGAATAGGCAGGGTTTCTGGCTCAGAATCTTTTCTCCAGGTCCAAGAAGGAGTGGCAAAATCCAAGCTAAAGACAAGGTTAGGCACAAGTCTTCTTAATTTAATCTAATTATGTCAGTCAGGCCACTTGAGAGATAAGGGTACTTAGCATGTGTAGAGCAAAGCTCCCTTCCATATTACCACAATCATATTCTGCAGGGAAAATTTATGTTGCAAGTGAGCTACACAACCCTGTGCATGAGTTTTCAGAGAGCCCTCCTGGGGTCCTTAACTGTTGACACACACATCTAGCCATGCTGGCAGCGTACGCAGCACTTCAGCCCAGCCACGTGGAGTACAGGATCGGCGGTACTGAACAACAATCCGTTTTAACTGCACGATGCAACGTTTTTGCACGTTGGGCTCCGCTGAACCGGAGGCCTTGCTGGGGGTTGGCTAATCGCTGGGGGAGGCCGGATCCTTCTGGGAGACCTAAACAAGCTTAGTGCCCTGTGATTGTGGGAGCCCTTTTGGGACTACTCCGCAGTCTTGCCTTGAGCTGATGGGTGGATGAGATTCCAATCAGGCGAATGGATGGATTGCCGATGAGTCCTGTTGTTTAGCCATCTGGAGGTACTGTTGCTGCCAGGCTCATTTTTCAGCTTGATGGCCATAATGATTTTGGCAATAGTTGTGGCTGCTCCCATTCATTCTTTTAACAATTTCCATTACTTTGGCCAATTATTTTCAGGGTCCTGGCCTTTTCTTTCAGAGCTCTGTGTTTTTATGTTTCATGATCTCCGAACAGTGATTTGTACAACTATGTCCCTTTGTGGCTGCTCCTCATCTTCTTGGAGTAGTTTTACATACAGCACATACCTTTTGAACTAGCTTGTGACAAAGTAGCTCACACAGTGCCTCTCTAAATAACCTCCCCAAAGCCAGTGAACTAAAAAGAGACAAGTCTCAGCTCTCTGTTTTGCTGGACAGGGCATGTACACTAAGCATACAGTCAGTCAGATGGAAAAAAACATGTTTTAGGAGTGCTGTCAGTAGCGAGTCCCAGCTGTTCCCGCAGATATAGTGCACAGAGAGACTCCCCATGCAGGACTGGTTTCAGCTGCATTTTACTCTATGGTTCAGTCTATCTTTAGTATTTTGTCAGCCCCAACAGGCTGAAACAGGCATCTTCTTGTGTAATTTAAGCTAAAAGAAAAGTCAGCGAGTAAATACTGAGTCTATACAGGCACCCAGAAACAAAGCCAGCATCATAGAATATGCAAGCACTTTTTCTGAAGCATTGTTATTCTCTTAAATCCCTACCCACTGTCCAGATCTGACCTTAGCGCTGATCTTTGGAAGAAGAAAAAAAAAAAAAAGTTCCCAAACGTGTCTGAAATACTAAACTACTCCCAGGAGGGAAAACCTAAACAAACACTATCCCCCTCGCTGAACACACCCAATCCTTCCCTAACCTAAACAGCCACTGACACTCTTATCACCTTCTGCCAGCAACTCTAATTTTTATTGTTAGAAGCTTATTGTCGCGAGCTTATGCTACTTGCATATGTTTTTGCCACCGCTGTACATTGCATGCATCAGATACTCGGCCAGCTGCATGCTGCTGATTCTTAGAGCAGCTGACGCACACAGAAAGGGATTCTGTATAAAAATGTTGCTGCGCCAGGATTAGGTCACCATTGGTGCCATCCTTTACATAAAGGGCCAAACAGTAGACAGAGATCCTGGCAGAACAGCTTCTGAATGACAGGCTTCCTATTATTAATGTGTATTGGTGTATGGCCATATCTCAGTAAAATAGACCAGGCATCTCTGATTAGCACTGCTAACTCACTAAAGTAGAGTCAGCTAGAGCCTTGATATAAGAGGTTATAATAAGAATCAAAGCTGCACTGGTGAAAATCATCGGTTACCACCAGAAATAAAAGCTTTTCAGATGTCATTTACTTGAATGCATGCTTAATAGTTCCATGTCTTTGAAAGCTTGTACCAGCTCCTCCTCGTCACACAGCTGCACCAGCTCCACACTCTGGATTCAGTTCAACTTTGTTTTCAGTATGACAAGAACTTTTGTCAACACTGTGGTTGAGCAACATAAAGCGCACCAATAACAAGAAGGACAAACAAAAATACCTTAGCAGGTAGACAAGGCTTTTCACCTCTGGATTCCAAGCCTTAAAAAAGGCTGGGTAAGTTTTCAGCATAAACAGAGATGTAACTATGGCCCCGGAGATTTGGTTAAAGTATACCTGAGATGGCCACTTCTAGAAACAGGTTTTGTGACAAAATCCAACTTCTCTGGTCCAGGTTGCCCTCACAGACAACTGGAATCCAGACTGTCTACAAGTGTCATCTGCCCTCACAACATGCGATGTCAGGCCCTTATCCAAAAAGCCACAGGACATCTTATCTGTCTCACCTCAAACATATGGCTTCATCACAGGGCAGATGGGACATAGGGAGGTGCCTGGGCCAGGTAAGGCATGCTCGGAGCCTGCTAGCACTGCAGGATAAGGATCAGAGGCTTGGCGTTTTCTCCACGTATGCCAGTCCCAAATTTGCTCCTGGGACCTGATGGGGAATTTAACTCTGAGCATAGTTATGAAGTTGTTCTTTAGGCCATGCAGATCTCACCCAGCTTCCCAATCTACTGGCTTAGGGGAGCGCCCAGAAAATTATACATCAGGTAATGTGCACAGTTTCATAGCAAATGCAAATACATGGTTTAAATGTCATATAAATACAGTGGATTATATTCATAGCATGCTGGAGGCCTACTTAAATATCAGCATTTGCTTTTTTGAAATGCCTATGTAATTCATAATGCTCAGCTATCTT